TCTATTCCCTGACTCTAAACCCAGTTACCCTAATTATACAACTTTTTTATATTCCAAGTCTTCAGTTTCTTTGGTCCTCCAAAGACTTTGTACATCACTTTCATTGCATAAGCCCCATTCACCATAATTTCCCACCTGGCTGAATTCTTCTCAGAATTAGATAAAATGTTCAAATGTTAAAAGAAAATTAATTTTACTTGTTAGACTAAATTTACATTTCTGCTTGCATTGTGATACCGTAAAGTAACTTTGTAAGGTTGATGTCTAAATCCTCACTTGGTGGATGGATGTGTATATTATTCTTGATCCTCCTTGGAACAGACTATTATAGTTTCTTACAAATATTCTCCATGAAGCTAGCTTACTTGACAAGATAGAGCTAAAGGATATTTTGCTAAATGGGAAGAAATTGTCCTAAGTGCTCATACCATAACTTGCTAAAAGTGAAGCAGAATAGTATAATACAAAGTGAATTTAAATCGCAACTGTCCAATATTCACTGGCTTGGATTGGCTTCTATTCTTGCCCCTTCACCATTCCCTCTGGAGTTGCTAAAAGAATATTTCCTTTACTGCTCCTCCCCACCACCAAAAAAAGCAAAGTCTACATGTTGGCCTGTGGCAACTTGGACATGAGCAAGCTGCCATGTTTCCAGTAACAATGCCTACCTCTGCCACTTCATCACCTGTCTCGAAAAATCTGCTTGTTTGACATGCAGTGTTAGATGAGTTGCAATTTCCTCAAGCTAAGCCACTCCATAACCTTATCAACCTATTTATTCTATTGTCTCAGACTGAACCAGACAGATTGAACAGAAGAATTAGGAGCAGGATTAGGCCATCTGGCCTATTGGACCTGCTGTGCCATTCAATAAGATTATGTCTGATCTTTTCATGGACTCAGCTCCACTTACCCACCTGCTCACTATAACCCTTACTTCCCTTACTGTTCAAAAATCTATCTATCTTTGCTTTAAAAACATTCAATGAGGGAGTCTCAACTGCTTCACAGGGCAGGGAATTCCATAGATTCACAACCCTTTGGGTGAAGAAGTTCCTCCTCAACTTAGTCCTTATTCTTCTCCCCCTTATTTTGCCTCCTAGCTCTTGTTTCACTGGCCAGTGGAAACAACCTCCCTGCTGCTATCCTATCTTTTCCCTTCATAGTTTTATATGTTTCTATAAGATCCCCCCTCATTCTTCTAAATTTCAGTGAACCTCCTCTACACCCCATCCAGTGCCAGAACATCATTTCCCAAGTCAGGACACTAAAACTGCACACAGTACTCCAGGTGTGGCCTCACCAGCACCCTATACATCTGCAGTGTAACCCCTCTATTTTTAAACTCCATCCCTCTAGCAATGAAGGAGAATATTCCATTTGGCTTCTTAATTACCTGCTGCACCTGTCCTATTTAAGCCCAGACTGAGCTTCTGACTGTACATTCTGTCCCATTAGCTGAAATCCTGATTCACTGCAATAACATTGTTTACCACCTCTCCATTCACCATTCATCTGCTTAAACCTTCATCATGTTTTTTTTCTTTATTCATTAACGGGATGAGGGCATCGCTGGCTAGGCAGCATTTATTGTCCATCCCTAATTGCCCAGAGGGCAGTTAAGAGTCAACCACGTTGCTGTGGGTCTGAAGTCACATGTAGGCCAGACCAGGTAAGGATGGCAGTTTCCTTCCATAAAGGACATTAGTGAACCAGATGGGTTTTTCCTTACAATTGACAATGGATTCGTGATCATCATTAGACTCCTAATTCCAGATATTTAATTTAATTCAAATACCACCAACTGCCATGGCGGAATTCGAACCCAAATCCCTGGAACATTATGTGGGTCTCTGGATTAACAGTCCAGCGATAATACCACTAGGCCATCGCCTCCATCTCCAAAACTTTGCAGTTCCTGTCCTACACTGTGACAGGGCAGGCTCGACATTCTGTACTGAGGACAGTGTGACGCCTCAGCTTGCAACCATTTTGAATGTAAATCAGTTTCAATTTCTGGCATTGCATGTGACCACAAATTGATATAGCAACATTGAAATCAAAATGTGATTAAAAATTATCTGCTGTACAACCCCTCATTTGGATGAAGTATGGAAGGTATCTGACAATGGCCTGTACTTGAAAAGGCAACTTGCAAAATCCTTGGCATGGAGCATAGCACTTTATGGGTGTGAAAGCTGGGCTTTCAATAAGACTGCTGAGAAGAAGATTACAGGTTTTGAATTGTTGCTCTGACAGAGGGTCTTTAGAATCAGCTGAACAGAGCAAGGAACCAATGGATTTATTCAGTGGAAAGTCAACTTTTAAGCAGAAGTGAAGACGCTGAAGTCGGGGGGATGGTGCAACCATTGGAAACGAAACGGCGTTGACAACAGTGGGTAGTGAAACTTGAGAAAAGAACAGTGTTCTCCAGATTGGAGATGATCTGGATGGTGGACTGTGTCAGAAACTGGAAAGAGGTGGGGATGACAGGGCAGTGCAGAATTACAATGAGCAAAAAAAAATCCCTGCAGCCCCTTTTGCATTGTTTAGTTATGGATGGATGACGGTGTCGTGTTCCAGTCACTTAAGCAATCCTCTATCTACCCATGTAGCTGACTTTGTGATTTCTTTTCAGGTTTGCGATCACTCCTGGTTTAACTCTACTGGGAATTTCATTTGAGAGTTTCGTCCTGTTTCAGTTGCTGTCCTGCTCTAAATGTTTATTATCCATTACAAATAGTAGACTATTTCTAACAATATTTAACGGAGGCTGTGAAGTAATTGTACAACTAGTAACTTATCTGTAAAAATCCTTTGTGCTCTTTAGCTCCATTTTGTTTGATTATTTTTCGTTTGAATAGTGGACAAGGATTAATGAGAAGCTGAAACATATAGTCAGCAGTTATAAGATTTTTGAGTTATTGAATAACAGTGATTCATATTTCAAAACTTAAAAAGAAGGTTTTGAGCTCAGAGAATTTCTTGTACAAACAGCAGTCCTGAAGTACGAGCCATCTCGTTTGCAGTTCGGGCTGTGCTGTGATTGAATCCAGGAGGTCTGGAGTATATTTGCAGTGCCATCATGCCATATTATTGATGTGCTTTACATTGGCGCAACGCAAACATTCTTATCACTGGTTTTGTTCCTTTTGCATTCTTTAGATGCCAGCAATAATCTAAAATTGAGTGTGATAACTATCTGTGATGAGGAATTTGAGGGTATTTGAGTATTATAGACAACTTCCATTCCTGCTCAAATTTGAAAGTCATTCTACTTTATACAGTGATTTTAGCTGGCTAACTGCAAAGTTGCAAAATTTATTTAACCCAATCTGCTAAAATTAGAAGTACTTGAAATAAGTGCAGTCAGAGATTGCCAATTCTGAGAATGACTTCTGTGTGTTTGGACATACAGTGGACTTCCTTTTAAGAAACTAACTTCAAAAACTGTGGAGGCTGTCTAATAGTGACTATCTCTTTGTGAGAGCTCACAGTGGCTTTTTATATTAGAGGCTGAGATATATTTGGGAGCTAATAAAGGAAGTCTGTTGCAGAGCATTAAATAGTTATTTCCGATGGCTTCTGTCATGCAGCTGTCCTCCTTTCATATGCATATAAAACTATTTATTAAAGTACTTATGAGAAAGGTAATACAGAGTGTCTAGAAACTTTGTTTGTTCTTACTGAGGACTTTTTTCTATAAGTGCATAATGGAGATTTTATTTCATATTTAACTTTATCGTTAAAGGCTTGAAACTATTCTGCATAGGTTTCAGAAATAGTTGACAAATATATCACAAACAAAAACAGAAATTGCTGAAAAATCTGAGCAGGTCTGGCAGCATCTGCGGAGGGAAACCAGAGTTAACGTTACGGGCCCAGTGACCCTTCTTCAGAACGGTTCTGAAGGGTAGGTGATGGTCTAGTGGTATTATCGCTAGATTATTAATCCAGAGACCCAGGTAATGTTCTGGGGACCCAGGTTCGAATTTCACCATGGCAGATGGTGGAATTTGAATTCAATAATAATCTGGAATTAAGAGTCTAATGATGACCATAAATCCAGTGTCGATTGTCAGGGGGAAAACCCATCTGGCTCACTAATGTCCTTGAGGGAAGGAAATCTGCCATCCTTACCTGGTCTGGCATACATGTGACTGCAGACCCACAGCAATGTGGTGCCCTCTGGGCAATTAGGGATGGGCAATAAATGCTGCTCTAGCCAGCAATGCCCATATCCCATAAATGAATTTTAAAAACCCCAAAATGTTAACCCTGATTTCTTTCCACAGATGATACCAGACCTGCTGAGCTTTTCCAGCAATTTCTGTTTGTGTTTCTGATTTCCAGCATCCACAGTTCTTTCAGTTTTTTTACATGATAAACATATTATTTCTACTTGTAGATTTTTCTTTTGAATTTCTGATTTCTAAATGCATTCGTGAGGTATTTTGTAAAAGCTTACACTATACTAAATTCATTCTCCTAGATTTACATCAAATAGCACCCATTTTCTTGCATTTTCTGTGGATGCTTAAGCTCCCAAAAAGCTAGGTTAGAAGTCTTTGTACACACATGTGCTTAGAAGTGTGAAACCCATCATGTTAAAACAGGATAAACAAGCTGTCTTTTATTTAGCAAGTAGCAATTGGGGTCCATTTTGAGTTCTCCATTGCAACAATCAGTAGCTTGTGCCATCACAGGCCCACTTTGAGGGTAGTCTTACAATTGCCTGCAACACAGAAGGTATTTACTGACTGAAATTAGTCTTTATCAGTGAGTGGCGTGCAATATTTGGGGCCTTTCTGAACCCTGAATGGTGAGATTGAAGCAATGCTGTAACTCCACCAAGCATATATGAGTGTCTACACTATTATTCAGAACATCAGTTTGCTGTTCTGTTCTCAAGACTTTAAACCATAACCTTTTTTGTTAATACCAGGATTTCTGCTTTTCTTCAATAGTACATTGCTCATCCTGTTTACTTTCTGTCTTAGGCAACCCTGAAGATGCTGCTAGATCACCTGAAACTTGTAGCTTCATACCATGAGGTAAATAAGATGACCTGCCAGAACTTGGCTGTATGTTTTGGGCCTGTACTTTTAAGTCAGCATCAGGAGACTTCCAACCATAGCCATAGGGTTTTTACAGACTCTGAGGAATTGGCCAGTGCGCTGGACTTCAAGAAACATATAGAAGTGTTACATTATCTACTTCAGCTTTGGCCAGGTAAGAGAAATTTGTCAATGCCTTTGTGTGTTACTGCAGCAATCCTTTCTGAACAAACTATGCCTTGAAAAACAAAGTAGCTTAGCTATGTTCTGTGAAGATACCATCTTCTGATCTCTATCAGTACTATACCTCAACTTGGAATTATTAAATATTGTAATACAGAGTCTTATCACAAAATAATGCAGAAAGCTAACTGTTTGAACTTTGGTATTTACATCAGAGAGTATGGTGTTACAAGGCATTGATAGAATTTTTTTTACATTTTCGGGTGTTTTTAAGATTTTTAGATTAAAATCAGTTATTTTGCAGCTACTGGGCATGTTCCTGAGTGTCAGCAAAAACAGCCTTAAGAAATAGTCAAGTATTGGTTGTGTTTTCATCCTGTTCTGTTCCAGTCAACTGACATACTCCAATGCCTTACCCAAGTGACCCTACTTCATTGTGCAAAAGAAGTGTTGGCAGGCTGTGTGGGAGGCAGATAATAACAGCAAGGCCAGGTTCTGCCTTTATCCAACAATGACTGGATGAGCAGAATGAGTGCAAAACTGGCTATTTCTTACCTGCTCTAGCCCTGTCATTGTAATGCCCACTTATGGCAAGACCACTCCTTCCACATCTGAAATTAATTAATTTGAATCAGTTTGCTTAGTGTCATTTGTTTTACCAATGAAACCATTATGAACATTAAAAACAATACCAAATATAAGAGAACTCTTTGGTACAGTGGTAGTGTCCCTACTTCTGAATCAGGAGGCCTAGGTTCAATGCCCGCCTGCTCCAGAGACGTGTGTGATAACATCTCAGAACAGGTTGACTGGAAAGTATCTCCAAAGGTATTTCATGCAGTCACACAAGAGTCTAGGAAATTGATGGGTCATGGAACAAATGGGCCACTAACAACGTGGACACATATTTGGTTTAGGTTTCAGCAAAGGAGGACAAAGGGATTAATTAAGAAGGGGAGAATAGCATATGAGATTAAGCTTGTGTGGAACATACAAACTGCTTGTAAAAGTTTCTGTAGATATGTGAAGAGAAGACAAATGGAGGTCTCTTGCATCAAACAGGGAAAGTTAATAATGGAGAACAAAGACAGCAGACTAATTAAATATATACTAGGATCATAGATTCCCTGTAGTTCAGAAAGAGGTCATATGGTTCATTGAGTCTGAACCGACCCTTCGAAGAGCATCCCACCCCATCCCTGTAACCCTGCATGTGGTTTTTACCATGGCTAACCCACCTAATTGCACATCCCTGGACATCATGGGGCAATTTTTAACATGGCCAATCCACCTAACCTACGCATCTTTGGACTGTGGGAGGAAACCGGAACACCCAGAGGAAACCCATGCAGATATGGGAAGGATGTGCAAACTCCACACAGACAGTTGCCAGAGGGTGGAATCAAACCTGGGTACTTGGCCCTGTGAGGTAGCACTGCTAACCACTGTGTTGCCATGCCACCATTTGGGTTATTGCCTTCACAAAGGAGCACACAAACAATGTCCCATAAATGTTGGGGGAATTCGGGGCCTAGAGAGGGGTGGAGCTGAAGGAAATCGGTATTAGTAGGGAAATGGTGTTGGGGAAATTGATAGGATTAAAGGCTAATAAGTCCCTAGGGCCTGATAATCTAACTTCAGAATAGTTAAGGAATTGGCCCGAGAAATAGTGGATGCATTGGTGGTCATCGTTCATGATTCTGAACACTCTGGAACAGTTCCTGTGGATTGGAGGATAGCTAATAAAACCTCACTTTTTTTTTGAAAAGGAGGTAGGGAGAAAGCAGGGAATTACAGAAAGGCTAGTCTGGCATTGATGACAAGGAAAATGCTAGAGTCCATTAAAAAAGGATTTAATAACAGAGCACTTGGAAAACAGTTATATGATCAGACGGAGTCAACATTAACTTACGCAAGGAAAATCTTACTTGACAAATCTACCAGATTTTTTCAAGGATGCAGCGAGTAAATTTGATAAGAAGAATCCAATGGATGTGTTTTACTTCGACTTTTAGAAGGCCTTCGATTATGTTCCATTTAAGAGATTAGCATGTAAAATTAAATTATTGGGGGTAGGGTACTGACATGGGTAGAGACCAGGTGAGGAGACAAGAAACAGAAAACAGGAGTTAATGGCCTACTCCTGGTCTTATTTTCTATGTTTCTAGAAAGGATGCTGTACTAAAGGGTGTGCAGGAGCAAAGAGATCAAGATATATGTCTACATAAGTCATTAAAGGTGGCCGAGCAGATAAAGAGTGCTGTTGATAGAGCATACAGTATTCTTGGCTTCAGAAATAATGGCACAGAGTGCAAGAGAAGGGATGTTATGATGAACTACGCTGGTTAGCCCTCAACTAGAGTTTTGGATATCATACTATAGGAAGGATATGAATGCATTGGAGAGTGTACAGAAGAAGTTTATGAGAATAATTTTGTAAAAACCTTGCTTAAATTATGTAACACAATCTTACACAACTCTTTGTGATTCTACTTTGTTTTTATTTGATGGTTACACTGGGTTTTTAGTTCCTTAACTTTTTGCAGCAATATGTGCAATTTTGGTCCCATCACTTCATGTATGATTTAGGCAACAGTGCCAGAATATCAAGTGAATCTACAACATGTCTGGTTTCACTCTCCCAAAATTTCCCTTCCTCTATTAAATCTACCCAATAAAGACCCCAAACCATCACAAAATGTGGTGAAAAGAAATGAATCAAATCGCTCAAACTTTATCCTTGGAAGATTAGAACAACCTTGCCTTTGTCAACATTTACCCAAGAAGAAAAATAGTTATCATGTTAATACTTTGCTCACACAAGATGAGCAACACACTAATATACTGTAGTTTTAACTCCTTCATAATAGCTAACTGCTGTCATGTTTGGAAACCCTATCTCCCTTGGCCAAGTGTTTTTTATAGAAATGTTTTCAACTCATGGACTGTGAAACTGAAATGAACCTTAGAATGGCAGTAATAAAACCACTAAATATAACTCTTTATTGCTTCCTATTAATGTGCTGTTAATCCCAGTCTGCAACAATAACAGCTGCCAATAGTTATTTCTCTTTCAAAGCTGTACAGGCATTTGTTCTTTTTGCCCCAAGCCCAGTTAATTAAGTTCAGAATGCACAGATGGACACTCATATGGACAATGCTAATCTGTGAAGTGTAGTCAAGGATCATATTCAGAAGATTTTCAGCCAAATAAAATGCTCAGCAGCATATTCTTCTCGAGTGATTTTGTCAATGTCAAGGATTTTTAGTTTTATTTGTTTGAGGGATATGTTGCTGGAAAGGCCACTACTTACTTTCCATCCCTAATTACCCTTGAGAATGTGATGGGGATCTCTATCACCATAGATAATGCATATATATAGACGTATTGATGCAGACCAATTGATTGTACATCCGCTGTATGATTAAGAAGGGAATTTGACACAGCAAAAATAAAATAGCAGTGATAAAATTTCAAGTCAGGATAGCTTGTGGCTTGAAGGGAAATTTTCAGCTGATGATGTTTCCATGTTGCTGCTACTGTCCTGTGTATAGGTGATAGAGGTCATGTCCTTGGAAGGTGCTGTTGAAGGAGGCATGGCAAGTAGGGGATGATCTTGTAGATAGTGCATAGTGCATATTACTATGTGCCTATTCTGAATAGAGTGAAAACTTTGCTTTGAATGATGCCAGTGTAATAAATGAAGAATAGAAGTAGAAAATGCTTTTCGGAGCAACTGCTGCAATTTTGCATGATAACGTTTTTAGGTTTGATTGAAATTACATGTCTTCAAGTCTAAATTCCTGCTCGACCTGTTGGGTTGGGTGGGTAGTCACATCAGAAAGGTTTGTCAGGTCAGCAACTATTCAGATTTGTTTAGGGGATTGAGAAGAGAAATTGAAAGTTTATGGGCTTTCAATGCTGTGGTCTCATCAGGATCAGATGTCGGTCTAACATTCAAACTTCCCAAGCCGTCCGATGAAGTCAGTGCACAGGCCTTCCATCAGCCATGACACATCCCTGTGGTAGTGCTGTTGTGAACCCAGCTAATGTTATTACTTCACAAGTTAGATCCCAGACTGAAACCTGGCTTGATGGATCATATTTGATTTGTGTTGATTTTAACGAAGTTAGACTTATGTTGAATCATAAGAATGCTATGCTGCATTAATAAAACTTATTAATGAAAGAAATGTACATAAAATAGAATAACCAAGCTATGTACTCATAACACAACTTCAAAGATGTTTTTTACAGCAAGTGGTATAATCCCATTAATGTCAAAATACACATTTATAAATTGAAAAAAAAATTGTCGTATAGCACACAAGTACTGTGCAACCCTGGTACAGTACCCAAACCAAACTTAGAATAGCATTCCACAACACCACTCATACAGTACTCACACCAGTGACCCTGTCTCTAACACCTTGGTAAATTAAGGTCACTGTGACTTTAACATATAGACATTATAACCGCAGTTAACTTTTTCCTGGAGCTTTTGCTTATTTGTTCATGGGAAGTAGCTGTGCTGGGATGTCCATCCCAGAGGAGTTAATCACATCACTGTGGGTCATGTAAGCCAAACTAAGTAAAGATGGCAGATTTCCATCACAAAAAGACATTAGTGGGCTTTTTTACAACAGTTGTCTGTGGTTATGTGGTCATCACTAGGATAGCTTTTCATTTCAGATTATTGTTGAATTGCACATTTCCATCTGCCACAGTAGGATTTGAAACCTTGTTGCCAGAGATCTTGGATAAGTGGTCCAGTGACATTATCACTGTGCCACCATCTCCCCTTAACTATTGTACACGTGAGCATAAACATACTCAACTTTAAGTAACCTTTTTAGGGTTTTATTCCAACACTTCTTGTCTGAGATTGACGCTAATTATTCACTCAGGTAGCCTAGTACGTATTCCTTCCCTTCTCAAGAATGCTGGTCTGTATAGCCATCTTCATCCAAGGAGTTCACGGGTCTGTTTAA